TTTTAAAAACTATATAGGTATATAACACACTCTTGGACTAGAAAAAAACTGTTTTCACATTTATCTTACAGATTTAATGCAATCTATACAGTCAAAACATTTATTTTTCTCATTCATGGTCTGTCTCTCTAGAGGCGAATGATTTGCATCAAACTGCTTCACAGGTCTCCAGAATCTTTCCAAATTTGATTCCATATGTTTTACTGTTAAGTATATTTGTTGTAGTTTATTTATAAGGAAACATTTTATAAAAGTAATCACTATTTCTCATTTTTTTAAAAACATAAATGAATTTTTATCAAATGTTTTTCCTGCATCTAAGAACATCATATGATTTTCAAATGTTAATATGAAAAATTACATTTTATTCTGGTCAACTGACCTGAGCCACAATTGATCACATATTAAAGCAATATATCTATATATGCAAGTCATTAATAAATTTATTAAGCTTCTGGATTCCATATGCTAATATTTTGTTTATAATTATTGTATCTAAAGTGACATTGGCATACAATTATTTTTCATACTGTTCTTGAGTTTTAGTCATCCAGGTTATGATAGTTTCATGAACTGCGGAGTCTATACTCTATCATTTGCAAGAGTTTGTGAAAAGTGATTTTACTCTTACATGTAATTCAACTCACTGATGCAAGCCATACAGAATTGCAGAGTTGTTACAAAAAGGGTTTTAGTTGCTAATTCAGTTTAATAGCTCTAGGACTTTCCCCTTTTCTGGTACACTTTTGGTAAGCTGTATTTTTCTAGAAATTTTTGTATTTCATTAAAATTTTCAAATTTCTGACAAAATTAATATTTTTTCACTATCTATAGAACTTGTAATGATGTCCTGTATTTCAGTCTTGACATTTGCTTTCTTTTATTAATTAGTATCAAGTTTATCAATATTAGTCTTTTCATGCAAAAACTTATTTCTGTTGATCCTTTGTGCTTGTTTGCTATTCTATGCATTTTAAGCACTTATCTTTAATATTTCCTTGCCGCTTTTCTTTACATTTATTGTGTTCATCAAACTCCTTAAGATGAATGTTTTATCTTTAATTTCCAGCCTTATTTTGGAATATATACATATATTTAAAACTGTAATTAGTACTAACTTTAGTAAGTACTGCTTTAACCTTATCCAACCAGATCCACCTGTAATATTTTTGTTTATTTCAAAATAAGATGTACCCCTCCCCCCAACACACAGAGAAATGCTATGCAGCTGTAGAAAGATAAAGAATGACATATTAATGTAAAAATAAATCCATTTTATGATGGATAATAGAACTTTTATGTAAAGTTAAGAGTAAAACTGCAGTCTAGCATGAATTACTCCTACTCTGTAAGAACAGGTGAGTGGAGGTGGTGGCTTCTTTTTAAATAAAGGAAATTTTCAGTCTCATAACCACTTGTTTCTCATTCAACATTGTAAATAGGTAATTAGCAGTTAAAAAGTCAAGAAAATCAAAACATTTTTCTGTATATTCTCATTTACTTATAGCAACATGGTAGGAAAAATAAGAAAAACATTTAATGAGCATGAATGACTTACATTAGGGATGGAGAATATGGAAAGAAAGAAGTATCAACAGAAGGGCTTACAACAATTTCAACATGTTTTTTATTTGCTTACTTAACATTCCAAACAAAATGGCATTTTACACTATTGCTTTTACTTAAGAACTCAACTGTCTTATCAAAGTAAACAAAAATCCCAATTCCTTTAAGTATCCAAGTGGTACTTTTTCCCCCACAGAAAGCTACTGCTTAAATATTTTTTAAATACTTTAACAGAAATATAGAATCATCCTGTAATAGTAAGACAGTAGTTGGGTCTCACCTGTATTACATTTAAAACTTTTCTCATTAAAAACTGAATACAGAAAAAAAACCAAAACACCTTCAGTCATGATTCCTCTCAGATTTTTAACAATTCCACTAATCTTCATTAAAATTGCTTTTGTAGAGAGGTGTATAAATATGAAAATGGAAAGTAAGCCTTCCCACACCTGTTCAGAGAGAAGTGGGTTAGAGCATTTATCCTGAGAAAAGAGCTGCTGGTCCCCATTATTTCAAGAAGGATAATAAACATTATGGCCCTCCAAGTCAAACCTCCTATCTTCTGTGCCACCATCATGTGTAACGTTTTCTGTTCTGGCTACAAGCATCTACTTTTCACACTCATGGGATGCTTCTCTTTTGAGCAAATCTTTGATGAAGTTGTATCCACTGAATGTTCTCAAAGGGGAGAAAGAGTGCATGAGTAATTATAATATTGGAACAAAAGTGAAGAATACATATATTTTCACATAGAAAAAATACTTACAAATCCAAGTAGCTCCTAAAAATAGAAAAAAAATCAGATGGACTTTTTTTTAAGAAAAAGATTGTTTTCTAAACTGTAAATGGTGCCAGGAAGACACTGATTTTTATATCTAGCTACATCACCGTATTTATGTACAAACAGAGGTTGGTATAGCTTCACTGATACCCCATGATTTCTCCCTTTATTTAAAGATTGTCTTTGAGACCCTATTAGAACTGTAACTATTAAATTTATAGACTATTCCAGTCACTGGCACACTCTCTTCAACCTGGCACATACAAAAATTCATTTCAACATTTATTTACGTTTTTGATGCTAAAACTAACATAATTTTTAGGCTACTTCTGAAGGCCATAATATTCTATCACTACTATGGCATTTTGCTAATTATTACAGAGATAGGTAAGATTCTAAATATGGACTTTAAGACTACATAAAATTCCAACTCCATACGTCAAAAGGGAAAGTAGGAAGGCAGACACAATTTTTCTTTTCATGTATCTCACTATCATGAGTCTGAAGGCTCATGCTGCATTCTAATTTACAACTGACATTGGTGACATTTTGCTTGGCTTCTAGACTCAAACCCTAAAATTTGTTAGTGGCTTTTAGATCAATTTGCTGTAAGACTATCTGAAATGCTTGCAGATTATTTTAAGTCAAAACCAGAATGTTAGCTATAATGTACAAATGGAGGTGGATTTAAAGAACATATTATTGCATAAACTTTATAATGATATTTTCTTAACATCATCACAGTTTTTCTTCCCAGAAGGGAAAAAAACTTAATTACTTAAAATTTTCCCCTTCCAAGCTTGAAGCATTTTTAAGTATACTGGCAAATGTTTAAATCAATTCAAGCTCTTAGCTGTTGAAAGATCAAAATACAAAGATAAGCATTTTCAGCACAAACATCAAAGGATGAACAGAATTACTTTCCATGTAATAGTGAACACCTTAATACAACGAACTTATCAGGATTTTGTGACAATAAAGCATGAAAATATTTTTTAAAAATTAAATGAAGATATTCCCAAAGTTGAGATGTCCCCTACAAGAAACCAATTTTCAAATTCCTGTAATACTGAAAAGCGAAATTGCCACTATTATAATAAATTGAACCAGATTTTTAAAATAATTTTATCTTATTGAAAAACTAATTTTAATGCATGCACTTTAAATGTATATGCTATACAACACTGCATCGTATTTTCCAAGTGGATATTTCTTACCACTCTTCTCTTTGACAAGTATGAAAGAGAGAGGTCTGTCAACAGACATGAGCAAATACTTAAAAAGTCTCAGGTCTTGCTCTATCACATACGAGCCAGTCCTTTTAACACTTGGTACATACCACATTAAAAGGTGTGCTAAATATCATCATGTTTTAGATCAAATTATGTCTTTAAAAGGTTGGCTTTTGTAGGATTCAAGGATGACTTGGACTTTCCTGTCTTTAAACCTTAGTTTTGCTATCAGTACAAATGTGTAAAACACTCCAAGAAGAAATCATTCCCATCAGTGTATAATCTCATCACTGTATAATCCTTGACAGCACTTGCTGCCCTCCTGAGACTTTAGGAGAATAAAACTATATAAAATGCACAGTCATCATGTCATCTTCAAGCTACTTTAGTATTCCACAGACTGTTAACATAAAGTTCATACATGGTTATCTAAAAACACCATGGGGTCAAAGAGAAGCAAGGGTTAACAGTAAGTCAAATAAACCAATGATGTTTAACTGAGATTGTTTTAAAACTTAAGTTTTCTTAAGTTTCAAAGACAGTTTTATTTAAATAGAAACTGTCTTTAATAATCTTTTTGTCTTTTATATAATCAAGACTTTCTTGGCAAATAATCTCTTTTTCATAAACATACGTAAGTAGAGAAGCCTCATAAAAGGCTTCAGACCAAACACTAATGTTCTTTTCTACAACTGATAAAAAGCAAATACTGAAGATGAGAAAATACCTTTAAGCTTTCAAATAACACTGTAGCATTTTAAAGTGTGTTATTTAAAAACAAAAAAGCTGGCTGGTCACCAATACTGTCATTCTCTCATCACTTATGCTCAATAATCACAGAAACCCAAAAGGAGGCCATGATTCTTTATTCTCTCTGCCATATCTCTGCTCTATTTGCTGCTAATGAAGCAACGTTATGACATGTAATTAAGATGCAAACAAAGAAAACCATAAACACTCTTGCTGTTAATTAACCTAGAAATAAAATCAGACGAAGAAAATTAAAAACAGCCATTTCCAAACTAAAAACCAAAAAGACTTAAAGAACTTTGAAAAAGATACCAACTTGATCCTGCAACACATAAAAAAGAAAACTGATTTTACACATTTTAATCAACCAATTTAATACAAATACCTGATTTCTACTTTTACACTAACAGGCTAAGTCCCAAGTTCCAAACTGTAGTTTGCATGACTCTACAGAAGGAATCTTTGGAAAGATAAGGTACCTTTGGAGAACAGTGTATAAATAACTGTAAACATACACTGATTGTCCACTAGCTTTCTTAAATAGAATTTCTGAAATATTTTTGTAGGAAATTATATATAAGAGTGTAAATTGATCAGATAATTTCTATTACAACATATAAATTCTGTTGAATGTGCAAAATGTGGTAGAAATAGAAGATACAGTGGATGATTTATACTTTTAAAGTAAGTGCTACATTACAATCCAGTAAAAGTCCTTTAATCTTTTCATGAAACTTCTCTCTATATAAGTTGAAATACATAATGCTTTCTGGTTCTTCTTCAAACCAAAACTTGTCAAATTCATAGACAAGATAACCTGCAGTTAAAGAAAAACAAAACATATAGTCCTCAATATTGAAATCACATTCAAACTATCTCATTTTTACAAAGTATATAACCATCCTTTAAATCCCATATTAAAATAATCAAAAGTATTCTCAAAACTATTGGAGGCCTGAGGAACTTAGTAAGAAATGTTTCCAGATGTTCAAAATAAATAGCAATTTCAATAAACGATTTAGTGTACATTTACTCTTTGTCTCAAAAATCGACAACATCCCTCAAGCTTATAAGATGTAGTACTTTCAGCCAGGAGCAGTGACTCATGCCTGAACTTTCAGCACTTTCAGGGGCTGAGGGGGGCAGATCACTTGAGCCCAGGAGTTAAGAGACCAGCCTGGGCAACATAGTGAAACCCCATCTCTGCAAAAAAAATACAAAAATTAGCCAAGAATGGTGGCATGCCCCTGTAGTCCCAGTTACTTGGGAGGCTGAGGTGAAAGAATCGCTTGAGACCAGGAGGTCAGCGCTTTAGTGAGCTGTGATCACATCACTGCACTCCAGAGCCTAAGTGACAGAGTAAGACTTTATCTCAAAAAAAAAAAAAAAAAAAAAAAAAAAAAGATGTAGTACTTTCAAAAGATACCTTGAGAAAAGTTTCCTGAGAAACCCCTGAAGCACAAAAATAAAAGTAATGAGAAAATGTTAGATGAGGCTAAAGTGTAGGAAAGCTATTTCCTACTCGATTTCTAAATCTAAGAGTTATTTCTACTTTTTTTCAATGAACTATCAGCATCTTTTCTTTTTTTAAAAAAAATACATCCCCTCCAAATCGGCTTAATATTTTTCGTTTTCAATATCCTCATTATGGTAGCCAAATTAACCTCCAAAATGTTAAAAGCATTTCATGAAACTGAACTTGTTTATATATACACACACACATATATAAGCTTAAATGTGAACTTAAAGCCACCCAACATCAAAATATCAATCAACAAGTACATAAACAATGTGTAGCATATAATGAAATATTGCTCAGCAATAAAAATAAATGAACTAGTCAATTTAAAAAATTAATAAATAAAAGCTATTAATACACACAACAAATCATGCAGAAATAAGGCAGACAAAAATGAGTAAAGACTGCAAGGTTCCACTGAAATACAATTCTAGAAAATAAATGCAAGCTCATCTATAGTGACAAAAAGATTGTGGTTGCCTAGGATGGTACCAGGAGGGGAAAGAGGCATAGATTACCAAGAAGCACATAAAAACTCTCAGGGATGGTGACTATATTCACCATTTGGATCATAGGGATGACTTCACAGGTGTATACATATGTTAACTTATCAAATCATACATGTTTATCAGATGTGTAGTTTATCATATCATATATGTGCAGTTTATCATGTACCTTAATAAATTGTTAAAAAGTAAAACAAAAAATAAAACCATCCAGTCCTACTTTGTATGCAACCAAATGTACTTACTGAATTATTTTTTAAAATATTTCTAGTGTTCACTAAATGCTCACATGCTGTCAGAGCAGCCCTAGGATACAAGGACTATGTTGTTGTCCCCATCTACCAAAGCAGAAACAGAGGTGCAGAGAAGTTAAATGGTGTGCCCAAATTACACAGTTTGTAAGTGGTCTCTGTTGCAAAAGCCAATGGCTTTATACAAAAGGGTGGCTAGACTATTGTGACGGCCTACTATGAAAAAAATGGAAACCTCATTTTAATAATATTGGTCATAAAGTAAACATTAATGGTTAAACACATCATATTCCAACACTGATATATCAGTTCATAAGAAAGCCAGTTTAAGAAAGATTTTTGGATTATTCTCGATATATGATAAAACAGATTTTGGTCAACCATGATATACAAGTAAAATCAAGGAAAGAACTCTGGAGAAATGTCATCTGCTATCTCTATACCCCATACACTGTTAGGGATGTACAATAAATACATTTAGAGATTAACATTCTGTATAGTATGATAAGGCAGATAGCTATCCAAATTTTATGGCCATACCATTTGTTTTCGTATTTCTGGTTATTAGGTTTTAGATATTCACCATTGTTATGTCCTTTAAATTGGATTTTCATTACTGCCAGTAATGTGGCCCATTCAAATGACTACCTGGGCCTGGAACAAACTGCTCAAGTTAAAGCACCAGGAACTTCTTGCTTCAGAGCGAGGTTGTTGGTCTATAATATAAACCAGTGTCAGAGAAAGACAAACTTGAAGAATGGAGACTATAATAGCTAAGGTGATTTAATGTGACATCAGGAAACTGCAGGAAAAAATACTGAAACTCTAGGAAACTGGCAGGCTATCCTTAGCATAAGACTCACAAAGCTTTGCAAAAAGGGATGGAAAAGAGCTGTTTTCCATGATGTACATATTTTTTCCTTTTGAGTCCAGAAGTTTGGAACTCTTAGACTCTGAGAAATTACCACATGAAATGTCTAAAACTGAAATTCCCTGCATGTATCTACTACAGAGGTTAGGGATAAGAAAACCATATGAAGGGGGATTAACTGTAAACTTGCATGAGAGATCTTACTGGAGTGATAAAAATGTTCTAAAAGGGTATTATGATGATGGCTACACAATTTAGTTCATTAAAATTCATTTAAGTGTAGATTTTAAATGGGTAAATTCTATGGCATATAAATTATACCTCAATAAAGTTGTTATTGAGGCATAACTTTTTTGTTATACAAGCTTGAGGTGTTACTATTTTTTCTGGAACCAACAAAACAGACGTCCAGGTAAAATTGTGACCCTACAAAACTAGAATGGAGATATGCTAGACAGGAATATGCAGAAGACAGATGGTGTGAGGCTGCTGAAGAGCAACAGTTCCCATAGATCCTCAAGTGCCCCAGTTTTTAGGGGAAAAAATACTGCACAGAGGTCATTTTGCACTGCTTTCTAACCTACCTCTCTCCTGTATATATTGAGATATGGGAAACTGCTTAACTGTTTTGGGAGTTTTTAAATTTTTTTAATATACATATTTATGTTCAATAGGTATTGAACAGGGGATAAAAATAAAAAAAAAAAAAAAAAAAAAAAATCAGAGGCAAGTTAGCAAAGTCCCAGCAACAACACTTTGGAATGGTAAAGGAAAGCATCTCATGCCTGCTAGAAATCTTCAGTACACTTGGGTAGAATCGTCAATGCTGTCCTTAGGGACCTGAAACCTGTCCCACCATTTAAAAACATGTTGCACTGGCTCCTACTTTGTGTATACATCCCATATGATTCTTTATCCTTGTCTATTAAGGGAGAAAAAGGATCTAGACATACAGTGCTGGGGTTAAAGTAGAGGTTGAGCTGAAGATATATATTTTGGCATTTAATGCACATTTGGCATTTCAAGTAAGGATATCACTTAGGAAAAATATGAGGGCTAAAGAGATGAGTGGGCACAGGGCTGGGCTCTGAGGTGATCCTACATCTAGTAAGGCAGTGGATGTCTACAGGAATTCCTGTGGGGCAGGAGAAAATCCAGGAGAATGTGACATCAGAAAAGTCATGATAATAACCTGTGGTCATTTATGCCCGGTGCCACTAAAAGGATCAAATAACACGAAGAAAAAACACAGCAATTGTATTAGGGAGAAAAAAAAAAAAAAAAGGTGTCTGAGAAAAATCAGTGTCATCAGTCATGGAGAGAGAAATCAAATTGGAATTTGATAAAAACTGGAGATGAAGAAACGTAAAATAGCACTTATTTAAAAGTTTCTTAAAGAAAAAGAGCAGAGAAATGAAGTAATATCTGGAGGTGGACACTGCACTAGGGGGAGGTTTGGATTCTGAACATGACAGCTCTTCATTGAATGCAGTGACCCTGATTCTCTGCTATATCCTCAGGGCCTAGAACAATACCTGACACACAGTAAATAATGAAGGGAAGGTACAGAGGCAGGTGTGTAGTCTAACTGATGAGAAATGGCTAATTGAAAGAACAAAGTCTTTGGTAAGACTTCCCAGAGAAGAGCATGCCTAAACTGAGATTTGGAAGATGAGAAGGCATCACCTGGAAATGACAGAGGGCGCTGGAATAGTGTTCCAGGTTAAGTGAATGTCACTTGCAAAGGCATAGAGTCAAAACAGAGCATAATACATTGGAGCAACTAAAAGAAGATGAGGATGCCTCCAGTATAGACTTTGTGGGGGTGAGAGGGGAGCTGGTATATGGCAAAAGATGAGTCTGAAGAGATATCAAGGTTCAGATTATGCAGGGCCTTATAATGGGAATCCTTTGAAGAATTTTTGGCAGTAAAATGATCAGATTTTCATTTTAAATAACTATACTTTCAATGTGGAGAAGAAATAGAAGAGTGTTATCATAAACAGACAGCTAAAGGCTATTACAGTAACCTAGTAACAAAGGCCTGATACTGTGCAGTTACAACGGAGAGGGAAAGAAACAGACAACCACAAGGGAAATTTAAGATGCAGACAAAACTGGAATTAGTGTGTAAGTAAAGGCAGGAAAGCTTCTGCGAAAAAGAGACATGAATGATACTTTCAACAATGGAGATGAAGAAATTATGATTTGGTCACCTATTACCTAAGTCATTCCTTATATAGTACCAACATGCAAATGACATTCTAAAACCACGAAAAGATCAAGAAAAGTAGTGGGTGAAGATAAACTAGAATGGAAATATTTGCTTCTGAACAATAGCTTCAGAAGTTGGATTCTTTCAATTAAACCTTCAGTATTCAAATATTATTACTAAAAGTGAATGGAATAGAGAGAGTAAGGATAGCTTTAGGAACAGTTACTAAGTACCCCTAACCTACCACAAAAATATTTGGCCTTGAAATTCAAGTCGGGGGAAGCGAAAATTTCCTCTAAATTAAATTTCCTTCCAAAAATAATAAAATAATCTGCAAATGGTCTGTCCTTAACAGCATTCATTAACCAGCATCTGAGAGGGAAAATTCATTTTGCAGTTAGCTGGAAAATGAATGCCTAAAGAAAAATTACATGAATCTTACATTTGTCTACATGTGAAATACTGCCTTTTATAATCAGCAAATATAAAAACTGAAGCACAGAATACTCTTGGGGACTCATCTTCCACTATTTTCTTGTTTTTCAAAGATCCTAAGTAATAAAATGATAAACATAAGTTACATACTTCACAGAGACAATAGATTAAAATATATATTATACTTTCCTAGCGGTTTACGAGTTATCTTAGAAAGATCTAGTTTTAACTCATTTTAATACTCACAATAAAACTGATGAAAGTGTTCCATTGTTGGTATACCAGGAACAAAGTTATAGAGATGAAACTTCAAAGCCTCACTCTTCAATAAGCTATAAGCCATCTCTGTAAGATTGATTCCAACTATTGCATAAGAATACCTATGTCAGAAACATTACCAGTTATACCAGCCAGCCAAATAACTCATAAAATAAATTTAAAATTATGCAAGGTATTAGTAGAAAGTGATTTTGTTTCAGGTTTAACACAGTATTGATTTCATGATAATCTCTACATAGTAAGAAAAATATGCCAGAAAGAATTTAACATTTTTGCTTTTTAAAGCCTGTTGATTTTTCTGGATATAATCTAAGAAATAAAAATAATGCTGTGTTCACATGTTATCTAAAACTAAAATTCTTAAATAAAAAAGAGGCAGGGGAGACTACATACCCCAAATCTCACTGATTTCTAAAATATACTAGACAATCTGATATTTTCTTCTCCATTATCATGGTATTTTTATGATCTAACATTGTTACTATGCTTTTTCAAAGATTAGATACCATCAGAATATTTAAAAAAATAACAATAAGGCTAACAAAACCATATCAATTTGCATTTCACTTAACAATTTTCAAAGCTATTTCCCCATTTTCCTTACTCCTTTTCCAAACTATTTCCTCCTCCTATCTTCAAACCTAGTTCTCAAAAAGATTTATAAGGGCCCTTATCTCCAGTGTATAGATAAACTATATCTTGTGATAAAAATATACTGAAATACATACAAAATTGGTTTACAATCACATTTTTCCTTAAAAAATAATGTATCATGTAATATCCTTTATAAAGTTTTTATTAAAATACCTCATTTTAAGTAATACCTTGATATACCTTCAAATTCATTAAATCATCTAATCATTGTAAATGCAAGAGATTATGGGTTCTTTAATATACTTAGCTTACCCTAATCTTGGATGATTTGAACGAGAAAGAATCTGATGAGCTTCACTAGTGTAATTTTCACTGAAATACCTAAAAAGAAAAATAATCAAACAAATATACACCATTCAAATGTATGATATCTAGAAGCAATTAAAAAATCTACTGTCAAAATGATAGTCTCAGTGCTGTCATGACCATCCTGATGTCTATCTCAAATCACTTCAGTGATTCACAAATGCTTCTGAATCAAAACTTCCCAAGCTATCAGACCTATCTTGTAAAGAATATAGGTTGTTGACAAGACTGTACAGTATTTTAACAAATAGACAATATAAAAAGAGACTACCTTAAAAAGAAAAAAACTAGAGTTCTTTTTGTTTCTTTGCTTGTTCTCTTTCTATAAAAGAGTCAATGTGTACCTGTTAGGACACTCTTCCTTTTACTTAGGGTTCATTCCTTCTACTACAATTTAAGTCTGTATTGTTTAGTGCCATTTTCAGTGCAATCAGAAGGGAGTTAACAATCTTTTTGCAATGAGAAGCCTCCTTCATCAATCATATAACTAAAATACTAACTATAAACGTAAGTATTGGTAGTATAAGAGAGATGTATATGAAACTATCTATTTTTAGGCACATACATCCTTTTGGCCTATAACAAATCTGTTTAATCTTTGGATCATCTCAGAATGACAGACACACACAAAAAATGACTGACTAGATGCTCACGTGAGGATAAAAAGAATAAAAAATAAATTTCCATGATTTATTTACATTTTAGAGGACATAACCATTGAAATTTTCATAAAGCATAGAAATTTCTAATTAACTCTTCCCACTTTATTCTTTTATAGAGTATTAATAGACACTTCCATATTTCTTCACTGGCTCTAATTTTCAACCCATTACACCAGGGGCTAACTTAGAAGTCCATAAATCAATGATAATTTATGAACGAAGGGGAATCCAGAAACCATCTTACATTATGCGCAACTTTTTCTGTGTATACATTTTCTGAGAGAGTGTATACAAAGCTTTCATCAGATTCCCTATGGGATCTGTAAACATCAAAATGGTTTAAAAAGTCTTGCTGAATACAGTGCTTTCCTAAGTACTCTAATTTTCCTACTTTATCCCTAGTTGACTCTAAAATGCCTTAACTATTTATATTTCATTTTTGTAATAATTTAGCATTACATTTTAATAGTCAAACTACTCTTAAAATGTTCAATCTGTAATATAGAACAATTTTTAATTTCCTTCCTAAATTTAGTTACACTCTACCTTAACAGTATCAAATGGTGAAAAATATACATCTATATACAATAAGAAAAACCATCAATATCAACCTAATTTAGCCAATTTCAGGATTTTTTTCACAGTAAGAATTATCCAAACTTTAATAGGCTAGCCTTCCCATTCTAGACATTTTATAGTCTATAAATCACATCATGAACAGAGCCAATCACTACAATTTGTACAGCTGCATATCATTATAGGAGGAAATTCACCTTCCAGGTTATCTTCTAGAATAGTTTTGGCTATCAATTGTGATTTGAGTTACATATTTGGGGATTTCATACATGTAGCTAATCATAAGTATTAAAGAAGATAAAGGAGAGAAAGTTCATAGGGTAGTCTATACGTATAAAGTCAGGAATGTAGGTAGATCAGTTGTCACAGGTGGTAAAGAATATACATGAAGAGACTTTATTATCACCTTACCTGGTTATATTTCCCAAAATAGAATCACAGAGCCCAGAGAGAAAAAGCAAGTAGAAAAAGGCAGTAGGAGTATACATAATTCTTTAAAAGGTATCAGAATGGAGATCAGAAAGAAAAAGGAGAGGAAAGCATTGGTAAGTAAAGAAATCACACACACAAGTATATTTCCACCAATGTCTTTTTTTTTTTTTTTTTTTTTTTTTTAAAGACAGGGTCTTGCTTTGACACCCATGCTGCAGTATAGTGGCACAATCATGACTCACTGTAACCTTGAATTCCTGAGCTCGGGCAATCCTTCTGCCTCAGCCTCCCAAGAAGCTGGACTACAGGCAAATGCCACCACACCTGGCTAATTATTTTTGTAGAGACAGGGTCTTACTATAATTGCTCAGACTGGTCTCGAACTTCTGGCCTCAAGTAATCCTCTGGCCTCAGCCTAACAAAGTGCTGGGGTTACAGGCGTGAGACACTATGCCTGGCCTCCAATATCTCCATATTGTTGCCAACAATATTAGCAAATACTTCTAGCATTGTAGTAATTAAAATTCAGAGATAGTATGAATCAACTAGATCACTTCTTATTAGAAGTAACTAGATCAGAGATTACATGCAATTTCATTTAGGGAAGAAAAGAAAGTCTACTTTCACTTACACAAGATTGATTAATCCAAGTATGCCCATGCCTCTGAAGTCTGTCTTGGGATCATCACCCTGGAAACCAATATCAGCCCACTGCTTGGAGATTCTAGCCTTTAACTTCTTCGTGGGCATTAGAAGATTCCAAAGCTGCACAAACATATTTCCATTATTAAGACATTTTCCTTCTCATAGCTTATAATTAGTAATTTAATGCTATCAAATAACATGTAGATAAATCATAGGTTAAACAAAGACTTTATCTAGAACATTTTTCAATTATCCTAAAACATACAGCACATTTATTCCAACTAATAAGACTGATAGAAACAATAGATTTGGAAAAGGTAACAAATAATTTACAAAAATCTAAAACAATGACAGGTCCATTTACTAATTAATACAGATATGACCAGAACTGGTAAACTGCTTGCTTGAGAAAAACATGGTATTTTAGGAACTTACCCCTTGCTTCGGATTTGTATAAATAGGCTCTATTATAATGGGTGGGTTATTAGTCCCTAATCAGAATGAAAATAGGTCTAAGACAGAAGGGCATGAAGAAATGACAGCATTCCAGCTTGTTTTACAAGTTTTCAGTTTAAAAAAATATGATTTGGTTTTAAATAAATATCTTTAAGGATGAGGATTTGAGAATAGCTATCAACTATTATATACCAACAAACTAATCAATGCAAAATAAACAAAATTTATTGTCTAAATTCAATATCACAAGCCATCAAATGAAAGAAACTTATAGAAGTTGACTAAAAATGGTTTGTGAAAACTTGCAAAACAGAAATACTTGCATTTTTTCCCATTTCATTACCATTTCAGGCATTGTTGAATAAAGACCCCTAATGAAAGGAGTATTCTGTTATCTAAAATAAAATGAAGACTTGTGATCTTGCCTTAAACAGGGTCAGGATTCTGGGTATGAGGCAAATCCAATCATTAGATTAGATTTACTTGGTCACTATTTTTATTACCAACACATGTGACTTGCTTACATTAGCCTCTCTCCATGAATTCTGCAAGGAGTTTGATTATGCCAGTGATAAGGCCTCAGTGATGTGGTGAGAGTCACAGTGTAGAATCACTAGTATTGAAAATTTAATATGCATGAATATTGAATTTCTGGGTTCCATTCCCAGATTCTACTTTTGTAAGCATAAAGTGAAACTTTGGAATCTACATATTAAACACTAGTTAACTCCAGTAAAGTTGGTCCCTGGACTACACCTAAAGAAGACGGATTACATAGCTCTTTACCCAGTAAGACTGCTGAGTATGTGCAATGTAGAACTGAATTTCACCATGAAGCACCAAGGTAAAATTCCCTAGACTAGAAGGTTAGGACTTGTACTTTTTCCCAAAAAAGGAAAGGTATTGTGTAGCAAGGGCCTAACATTAAGGGAAAAATGATGACAATGGGGACAGAAATAGTTAATCCTCAGTAAGAGCCAGGTATTAAACACTTTAAATATAAAAACTCAATCCATATGATAACCCTTTGAGATACATATTCGTATTGTTCTCATTTAACAAAATACACTTTTCCTGAAAAAAAAGGTTTTATTGCTTTTAAACTTGTGTCTCTTACTATTACTTAGATAGCATCAATGTTTCTTTCCACAGTACTTTTCATTATAACAAACTCCTAATTCTAAATGCAATGTGCTATTTTCTTTAACCATTTTAAAATAAAATTGGAATAGGTGTAGAGGATGGGCAGGAGATTCGTCTCTGTTCCAGGCCCTGGTCCTTAGAATCTTCATCCCTCAAATGAAGGGACTAATCTAGATGATCTATAAAGCTTACTCTAGGTCTATTACTCTAATTTTGGGACCTCATTGGCCTTATGTATTTATACTTCAGAAAAAATAGAAAAATTCTAAGTAAATAATTTTTACTTTCTTAAAGTTTAAATCTATTGTGGCATTACTTGGCAATTCACATTCCATAAGTCCCAAAAGATTGGAAGTAATAATCTGAAAAGGGATACACACATTTGCAATTTGTAAGTAGCTGAAAATGCTTAACTTATATGAGCAATTTGTATAAAAAGTAGGAGAAAAATCTGAAACTTGTGGACATGTAGTTTTTGGTTGAAAGGATCTCTCTTTACAGAGTTTTATTTCAGAATTTAATGTATTAAAATAAAATTTATTTGAATATATTCATATAAATATATATTCATTATATATTTATAATAATGCTTATCAGAAAATTATAAAAATAGCTAACTAAAAATCTTTCCATATCAATGAAATCCAGTGTAATAAAATTCTCTAAGGGCAAAGAAACTATATAAGCCTAAGTATACAAGCCTCTAGAATTTGCACAGAGACTTCACTTAGCTAAAGCCTGATATATTTTTCCAGTGTTGAACGATTCCACATAAACAGAAATTTACCTTCATGAGTAGCTCTTCATGTTGTAGGTTGTCAGAATCATATGGCCTTTTTCTCACACTTTCTACATCCAAAAAGAGCTGTTTATAACCAGTTATCTGCAGTAAGCACATCTTCATGCAGATTTTAAAACTAAAAATGATAAAATTAGTTTTTAAAAAGCATACCTTCTTATCACAATAAAGTGATGTCTTTCATAGATTGTGGTTTGTATGTCTATTTAGAAAGCATTTCCTGGCTTTCAGTTTAAAACAAGACCCACCAAAAGCCTCCTTAAACACAAAACATCATGCAAAGTACTGCATAGGATGCAAGGCCCTAGAAAGAAGGCAAGACATGGTAGGAATGGCAGACTTCACAACTGTAAGGATTTGTGAAGGATTTTCTCTTCATGTCTTCTCTAGGCAATTCTATACATTCCTAAATCTTTATTGCCAGATACCACCAATAGACTTAATTTTCCAAGTATATATAAAACAAATAGCTCCACAGTAGGTTATCTCAGCTCTAAATACAACTGCTTATCTTCCCTAACGAAACATGCTCCTTCTTTAGTCTCTAAATCTATTAATGACATTGCTAACCATTAGTTCCCCAAGCTACAACACTCCAAGTTCTGACCTGCCTCTCTCCAACAATGTTTCAAAAGATCCCCACACCCTGATCCTTTCTAGCTCTGAAATTGTCCTTCGAAGCAATCCTTATATGACTTTCTCCTACTGTATTTATGCCTTTGTCATTTCTTGCCTGAATGACTCAAGTTTTCTATTCTTTATTCCTTCTGCTAGCCTCGCACATCATCAAATCTACTCTCCATCTTCCTAAAATACCTATCTAAGAATGTAGCTTGTTTTTGCTTAAAAACCAGAGGACAACATCTATATCCTTCAGTATGGCATACAAGACTCTGCAATGTATCAACCTAGCATTTTAATCATTTCTCCAGCCACTACTCTACTCATATTCAATGCTCCACCTATAAATGACTCCGTATCATTCCAGATACAAAAGTACTAATATTTCTATGTCTCTGTGCCTTGCTGGCACTGTTCCCCTACCCATTCATTAAGGTCCAGTTTAAATGCCACCTCTGTATGGAACTATCCTCACAGTTCCCTCCTAGCCCCTTCCTCATCTCAGCTGAAATAAATTGTTCCTTCCTCTATATTCACATAGAAAATGCTGAATGAAAGAAATAATGTGAAATACTACGTCAACATACCAGCACTGGGAACACAGAAATGGAATAAGTACTCTTCTAATGGAATTTAAAATTTACAGGGGGAAGGAAAAGAGTTAATCAATGACTATAGTAAAATGGGTTAAATGGTATGATAACACTGTGAGATGCCACAGCAAGGCACCTAACTCAGAATGGAGGAGCCTGGGAGGACCTTACTAGAGAAGGATATAGGAACTGTATTTCAAAGGACATAGTAGCCAAAGTTATTAACCTGGGAAAGTCATGGTAAGACATCTTGAAGAAGGCAGATGATATAGTGGCATTAGTGCTGTATTGGAAACCAAGAGATACAGGTTCTAGTTCTAATTCTATCACTGCCCTCTCTGGATCTCGACTGCTCATCTTGTGAAGTGACAGTACTGAATCAGATCATCTCCACAAACCCTTCAGGTCTAAAGTGTTACAGCAGTGTGTGATCTATACACCTCACAGGTTATAAGTGCATAATAAAAAAGAATAATGTAAAAACAGCACACCTGGTATCCTTCTCAGGGTTAATATTCTTTTCCTTCATAATATCTTCTACACATTTGTCCACTTCATTCTGAACAACACATGTTGCCTTCTGTAAAACCTATTTATGTGAAAGAAAGCCAAATGAGAAAAATTCTTTATAGCTGAAAAAGAGTAAGTTTTGAGGCATTTTATCAACCTTATAAAGTTGACATCAAAATGCAAAACAAACTCAATTTGTTTCAACCAGCTTATTTCAAATTTTCTCTAGGGCCAAGCTCATATAGTTTTATAATAAAAAAACAGCAACATGATGTATCAGAGGAAGCCTTCCTCAACTGAGTCAACAGGTTCTCAGCTGATGAGTTCTTAGCAAATGGGCTGACACCAGTGTGTTTATGAAGCAGATATATTAATTACATAATAAAATGTTAAAAAATCTTGAATGCGTAAGTTTAAAAAATTAAATGAAAAAAAGAGTTAAATCGCATAACCTTGTTTCCAGAGATCACCACTGGTAACAAACATTGACAAAACCAAAATCAGATCAAATTTGAAAACTAGGAATTTACTGTGCATACTGAAGAACAGTTCACAAACTAAGACTTCAAATCAAAACTGGTAAGACAAATAAAAATAGAGGTCTTAGTTTAGATACACCCCAAGACGAGAGAGAGAGAAAGAGAGAGAGAGAGAGAGAGAGAGATTGAGATTGAGATTGAGATTGAGATTTCCCCAGAGAAAAGTAAAAGGTGAAAAGAAAATGGTCAAAGATTAACAGCAATCCATAAAGATACAGATATGGTCAACAAAGTCTAGTTTGTCCAATCCTGAGATAAGAGGGGTACAGGAAGTGCACTGAATCTTAAATACCAGCGCTGGTAAAAGGACTACCTTCACCATAGGCAGTCCTTTGCCATACCTTTTGCATGTATTACAAACTCCTAAAACGTTAAAAATCCAGTTCAATGTCACCTCCTCTGTGAAGTCTTCCCCAGCTCTAGAGTTACCTACTTCCTTTTACAGTCATACTTCAGTTAGAGAGTACTTACCACACCATACTTTGTTTCTCTATGTTCTCTACCAGCATTTGTCTCTCTTATTTAGTCTTATATCTTGAGCGTCTAGCATAGCACAGTACTGATCATATGCTCAAAACTTGGTTAAATATATATGAATAAATGACTGATTGAATGAACTTGCCCAAAGCATACACAAATTTCGGGCAGTTAAGATGGGAAACCACATCTAGTTTCTAAGCTAAGAAACTAGATGTTTCTAGTTTCTAATTTAAATACAGTGAAAGGCATAGATGTTTGATCCATTTTAACAAATACATACATCCAGATAATCCACATTCCTACTAAGATACAGAACATTTCTATCATCCCAGAAAGTTCATTTATGCCCCTTTTCAATCAATTCTTCCTTCAAGAAGCAACCACTGTTCTGATTTCTATCATCATAGCTTAGCTATGTGCATATAAATGGAATCCAAGTATGTACTCTTTTGTGTCTGGCTTCTTTTGTTTAATATAATGTTTCTAGAATTCATCCACTTTCTTACTCATATTCACATTCTTTTTCTTATCTGTAATTTGTCCCTTTTAATTGTTGAGTTGTATTGCATGAATACACCTCAATTTGCTTATTCATTCTCCTGGTGCTAGAAATTTGCATTGTTCCCAGTTTGGGGCTATTGTGAAAAAGCTATTATGAACATTCTTTGTTACACTTTTGGTAAATATATATTTTCATTTCTTAGACATCTAAGAGCGAAATTACTAAGATATAGGGCAGTATGTGTTTAACTTTCAATAAAATTGCCAAAACTACTTTCTAAAGTGGTATCATCTTATACTCCAACTGGTATTTACATCATCAGTATCATTAGTCTGTTCAGGTAATTTCATTACCCCATTCTAGTAGATATGTAGAATCCTCTCATTATGATTTTAATTTGCATTTCCCTGATGACTAATAATGTTGAGCACTATTACAAGTGTGTATACACACACTCACACACACATACATATGCACCTTTGTCAAGTGACTGTTCAAGGCTCTTGCCCATTAAAAATTCTGTTGCCTTTTTATTACTGAGTTATAAAAGTTCTTTACTAGATACAAGTCCCTTATCAGATATATATGGTGCAAATATGTTCTCAGGCTGTGGCCTGCTTATTCCTTTTCTTAAAGGTATCTTTAATAAGCAGTTTTATTTTGATGAAGTTTAACTTTCCAATTTTTTTTAAGTGGTAGCATAACCCAAGGTGGAAGATATTCTCCTAAGCTTGCTTTCAGAAACTTTAAAGTTTTAGTTTAAAGATAGGTCTAACATCCATATTAAATTAGTTTTCATGTATGGTGAGAGATTGAAGTTGAGGTTCATTTTTTCCCCCATATATACCCAGTTGTTACCAACACTGTTTGTTGAAAAGATTTTCTTCTCCTCATTGAATTGCTTTGATACCCTTGTTAAAAACTATACATCTTAGGTGTGGTCAATTTCTGTTCTCTCATCTGTTAATATTCACCTTTTGACTGGAAAGTCTTAAAGTCAGGTCGTGGGGGTCCTTTTACAAGATTATTTGGGCTATTCTAGGTACCTTCCATTTCTTTATGAACTTTAGAATGAGCTTTTCAGAATCTTCAAAAGTAATCTGCAGGGTTTTTTTACTAGAACTGCATGGAATCCACAGATCAATTTGGGAATTATCATCTTAATAATACTGAGTCCTCCAATGGACGGACAATGAATATTGTATATGGTTCCATTTTCACCTTTCTCAGCAATCTTCTCTGAGAGTTTTAGTGCAGAAGTCTTATGTACCTTTCATTAAATTTAGCCCTGAATATTTTATGTTTTCTGGATGCTTTTGTAAGTGGTAATGTTCTTTTTTTATTTTCCAAAAATTTGTTGCCAACATACAGTAGTATACCATGTCCTGTAACACTACTAAATTCATTTACTAATAATGCCAGTAGTTTTGTAGATTTCTTAGGATTTTCTACATTCACAAAGTATGTCATCTGTTAACATATTTCTTTCCAATCATTATGTCTTATATTTCTTCTTCTTGCCTTACTGCTCTACTTAGGATCTCTAGTATGATGCTGAATAAAAGCATAGAGAGTACATATATTTGTCTTGTTCCCAGTTGAATGTGGAGAGCATTCAATATTTCAGTGTTACGTATCATGTTAGCTTCACGCCTTTCACAGCCTTTCATAGATGGAGAAAGTTCCTTCTATGCCTAGTTGAGATTTTTTAATGATGAATTGGGACTGAATTCCATCAAAACAGTTTTTCAGTATCTGCTAAAATGTTCATATTTTTCTGATTTACTCTGTTAATATGGTTAACTACATACATTGATTCTAAAATTCAACATGACAGGCTGGGCACGGTGGCTCATGCCTGTAATCCCAACAGTTTGAGAGGCAGAGGTGGGCAGATCACCTGAGGTCAGGAGTTCGAGACCAGCCTGCGCAACATGGTAAAACCCTGTCTCTACTAAAAATACAAAAATTAGCTAGACATGGTGGCGTGCACCTACAATCTCAGCTACTAGAAAGGCTGAGGTGAGAGAATTGCTTGAACTAGGGAGGTGGAAATTGCAGTAAGCTTAGATCGCACCACTGACTCCAGCCTGGGCAACAGAGCAAGGCTCTGTATGCATATATATATATATATATATGTAAGCTGAATATGACACATCATAACATATTATCCTTTTTATGTATTACTGGAATCAGTTTGCTAGTATTCTGTTAAGGACTTTTGCACCTATATGCATAAAGAGCATTGAATTGTAATTTTTATACACTGTCTGTGTTTAGCCTTAGTATCAAGGTGATATTAGTCCCATAAAGTGTGTTTCTTTCTATTCTGTTTTCTAGGAGTTAATGTAATGGTGGTATTATTTCCTCTTCCTTAAATGTTTAACAAGACTTTAATAGTGAAGCCAAGATTGGAGATTTGTGCAAAAATTTTAAATTAGTTTCTATTTATTTTTAAAGTTCATGGCTATTTAGATTTCTTTTTGTGTTAGTTTTGATAAATTTTCAAGGACTTTGTCCATTTCATATAAAATGAAACAATTTACTGACATAAAGTTGTTCATAGTATCGACTTATTATACTTTGAATGACTATAGGCTGTAGTGATGACCTTTCTATCATTCTTCACATTGGTAATCAGGGTTTTCTCTCTTGCTTCATTGGTGTTGCTAGAGGACTATTAATATTTGTACTCTTTTCAAATAATCAGATTTTCAGTTTTTTCATAATTTCTATTTTTATCTGTTTACAATCTCATTAATTTTTATCTTATTTTTATAGTATGCCTTCTTTTACTTACATTAGCTTTAATTTGCTCTCTTGCAGCTTCTTAAGGTATAAGTATAGATAATTAATTTTAGGCCTTTATAAGCTGCTTTTGTACACTCCACAAATTTTGATGTGTTGTGTTTTCATTTATTTTCCCCTCATGAATTTTTTGACCCAAGGGTTACTGAGATGTTTAATTTTCAGATATTTGGGGATTTTCTAATTTAGCACTGCTGGGGGCAGAAAACATACTCTGTGTAAGTTTAGTAAGTTGAAACTTACTGAGATTTATTTAAAAACCCAACATATCGTGTATCTATACAAATGTTCTCTGTGTACCTTAGAACATGCATTTTGTATTTGCTAGGTACAGCATTCCATAAATGTTAACTATGTCAATACGGTTGATAGCACTATTTAAATCCTATATATTCCTTCTGATACTTTTAGGGTGTCTTGCAGTTCTGTCAATTATTGAGATAAACGTGTTAAAATTTCCAGCTACAATTGTAGATTCATATATTTCTCCCTTTAGTTCTGTCCACTTTTGCTGCATGTATTTGGGGGCTTTGTTAATAAGTACATAAATTTTTAAGATTTGTTTTCTTGATAAATTAATCCTTTATTACAAAAAAAAAGTTTAGTATTGGGTAGTACTTCAAGTGTACGTTTTTTGAAAGCCACAACAGCTTTTTTATACTGTTTGCATAATATGTTCATTCACTTTCTATTCATGTTTGGGGTATGTTTCTTGAAACAACAGTTAATTGGCTATCGCTTTTTTATCCATCTGCAAATCTCTGGCTTATTCTCTAATCTTGTGTTAAGTCTTTAGTTCATCAAAAACAAAATGAAGGCTGGGCGCAGTGGCTCATGCCTGTAATCCCAGCACTTTGGGAGGCCAAAGTGGGCAGATCACTTGAGGTCAGGAGTTTGAAACCAGCCTGGCCAACATGGTGAAACCCCATCTCTTCTGAAAATACAAAAATTAGCCGGTCGTGGTGGTGGAAGCCATAGTCACACCTACTCGGGGGACTGAGGCAGAAAAATCACTTGAACCCGGGATGCAAAGGTTACAGTGAGCCGAGATTATGCCACTGAACTCCAGCCTGGGTGACGAAGTGACACTCCGTCACAAAACAAACAAACAACAAACAGGTAGATGGAGGAGAAATGAAGAAATACAATTCACTCATTTTCTAAGTTCTCACATATTCAACTACTTTGAAGGCATTTTCAATACTGGAATATATAATACTTAAAGAATTTCTTAGGATAGTGACTCCAAAACTTTTTTCTTTTAACCTCAAACCAAGCAAGTACTCAAAGACCATTTTCTCAACCACATTTGTTTTTTAGCTAAAGAAGAAATAGGTGATAATGAAGAATGGTGGAACTACATATACAAATCACATCATATATTTTGTAGGAAAATAATATGCTTATGCATATGATTTTATTATAAAACTAATGAACATAAAAGTAATTATTATATCAACCATGATAGGTTACAAATTAGATGACTAGCACACATTTGCAGGCAATAAACATCAACAGTGACTTTCACTACACAAGCAAATTTGAGGAGACTATATACACTGTTGAGTTAGTATATTCACAGAGTGTGAATGCTTCATTTTTCAACTATAGTGCCTATGCTGCTATATAAAGGTCAGGTACTTAATGTCTAGATTTTGGAAAGGTAGAGGCCCAAAAATGCAAATGTATATCACCGTAGCATTGAAAGAAAACTAAACTAATGACATAAAACTTATTTATTATTCAACTATTCAACAGCTACATTATTATTTAAAACCTAAGATGGCAGCTGCAAAAAAAAAAAACAAAGCCACCGAAAACACTAATAGATTGCCAAAGTATTCCTCCCCACCAGCAGGAACAGCTGCAGAAGTATCACCTGGGAATATGTCAGAAATAGGATCAGAACCAGATCAGAAATTCTGGGGATGGGGCCCAATAATCTGTGTTTTAACAAGCCTCCAGAAGATTTTGATTCATCCTTAAGTTTAAGAACAACTCTTGTAATGGACCTGAAATATAGCACCTCCCCAAGTACATCTGCTACAATTTATAATATTGTTACTTTGGGAAACTGAACCCTATATTTCAAATAAAGGAACTATATAAATAGGTAAGGTATAAATAAATTTTTAGAACCAGCAACTTGTTAGCTTTCAGGACCTCCATATTCTCATTTTTAAAAAACATATTGGCTGGCCGTGGTGGCTCACGCCTGTAATCCCAGCATTTTGGGAGGCCAACGCGGGAGGAACACCTGAGGTCAGGAGTTCGAGACCAGCCTGGCCAACATGGTGAAACCCCATCTCTACTAAAAATGCAAAAATTAGCCAGGTGTGGTTGCGGATGCCTGTAATCCCAGCTACTTGGGAGGCTGAGGCAAGAGAACTGCTTGAACCCAGGAGACAGAGGTTACAGTGAGCCGAAATCACGCCACTGCATTCCAGCCTGCCTTACAGAGCGAGACTCTGTCTCAAAAATATATATATATTAACCACTTTCTAACAATTCTGAACAAAGGAGTAGAACTCTGGACTCTTTCCCCCAAATATTCACTTATATGTATGAGTTACTCTTACACAGACCATTCTTAAAGTATAACTAAATCATTATAGTACCTAATTTAAAGGTTACTCTCCAGAACATAACAGATATGCTTGCAACACTCAAGAAGGTCCATTTTATTTCTTGCACGATTCAGTACCTCATATCACTAGATAGTAGCAAATCAACATTTTTGACCTTGAGCCACATTTTACATCATGACCAAGAACATTCATGTGGATGTCTAAAATATATACAGATGCACACATACATATTTAAAATAATTATAATAGTATACAAAATTCCTAAAACATATTTAACTATATTATGACCACTGATTTCTAAATATTTTCTATTCTATTCCTATTATTGTTTAATACTAGTTGTGATCTATTATGGGATTTCAAACAATGATCTAGATGACCCATATTCTATTCTTGCCACACCAAATAATCTATGTGTAGACAAAATTGTGAACTACAATAGGGAAGTAGCAGCTTCTGGCAGACTGTATTATTGGTCCCAATTCTTCATTACCCTGTGATTGAATTATATAACGTACTCCCTACCATAGCCTATGGTAGGCATATCATATTTCTCCACCCCTTGACTTGGCTTGGCCATGTAAGCTGTTTTAACTAACAGGTTGCTAAAAGATAGGAAACAAAGAGACTTAAAATATGTTTGTGTGGTTGGGCCTTCAGTTATCCATGGTGAAGACATTCACCAGATACCTGCTAACCCCCAACGTGAGTCCCAGATGAGACAAATGGAGTGGACAGGAATTTGGCCCCAGCTTGAAGTAAGGCTTCTCCAGCTGACTCATAGACATATAAGCAAGAAACAGCACATCTTTTTATGCCCCTGAGATTTTATAATAGTTTATTACACAGCAAAAGCTTAACTAATACACAGCATGAGTTATGAATTATTTTAGCTCAAAAGGTACACAACCCAGGGTTTTCTTTATCCTAAGCTGCTTTTCTCTCATATAATCTATGCTGAAGACAGTCTAAAAGAAGACTTTCACCCTAAGGCCCTGTTTTCCCAAAAGCTATCAACTCTTAAAGCAAAATAAGCAAGTTACAACCTCAAAACAGGACAAATTATTCAAGTATTTTCTTTGAAATACACACGAAAAACACACATACACAGAGAAATGTTTGAAAACAGAATATTACCTCTAAAGGGGGAAAATTTCACTCAATGCTCTTTTTATAGAAAACACTCATCTAACAAGGCATTTTATTTTTTTAAGAAAAAATATGTCCAAGTTAAGTTTTCTAGAGTTATCGCATTTATATTATCCTACCTTATTCTTGGAGTATGTCAAGGAATTTTCTGAAATGACAAAAAAAAAAAAAGAGAGATGTTACTACTTGAGTGCTATTTGTGAATTACTCCATAATAAACAACTAGTAAAAATATCAAACCAGTAATAAACTAATAGTTCCAGAAGATATAATTTCTACATGAGTAACAGCAAACATTTTAAAATTTAATCTTACAGTATAAATGTATGATTTCAAAAAGCTCAACCAAACACAACATACCAATAAAGAGGTGACACCAACCTCATTACCTGGGATCATCTGTTTCTGTGTAGACCCCAAAGTGTCTTACTAACCACCACAAATTCACCCATGACTGTGTCACAATAGCTCAGGTCCCAGGAACTCATCTTAAAACTATGATGCAAGTGCTCTCTGCTGCATTTTCATTTGTTAGCCTGAGCATTTAGATCTGAGGTGACAGCAAACAAATCTACAACAACGGAGCAACAACTTCAGATTATCTGGTCAACCATTCTGTCAACAGATAAATAGCAAATAGCTTCTCCATTCTTGGTTTCTATATCAAGAATCACAGGAACATTTTTATTGGTCTCTTCAAAAAATTTTCTGGCACATTTACAAATAATCTCCTTTTCTCAATAATTTGAAAAATTTAAGAAAAATGCTTTTGCCACAAACAAATGCCTTTATATATATATTCTTCTCCCACACTATAAAACACCAACCTACACTGTCTGAAGAGATTTCTTATCAAGAGGTACTTTGTTCTTCTGAATAGTCAAAAGGGCAAATCAAAAGAGCAGCAATAATATAAGTCAGCCATGAAGTTGTAAGAAAACTAGGAAAGTAATTAAGCTTAATCAACCAGCTGCCCTGAGGCAGCATCTGTCTGTCATTCTTCCAATGTTGTCTTGGATACAGATTCCAATTGCCAATGCTCCACTCTCTCAACCTTACAGGGGCTGATATCTCAGTCGAAGCACACTTGATCAACACAAAAGGAAATCTAGCTAACTCACAATTTTCCATTTAACATAAAGCATGAGCTACAGCACTTCCCTGGTCTTCCTCACCCTGGCTGAAAAGAAGTGACTTCAAACCACAGTTCTTACTCATCTGTGTTCAAATTTTAGAGTAATATTTTCAATGAAGCACCGGAAACTGATCTATTTTAGAAGGTAACAGAGCAACACTGTTCCACAGAAATATGGCGCAAGCCAAAATGTGAGCCATTTGTGTACTTTAAAATTCTCTATAGCCACATTAGAGTAAAAAGAAAGATAAAATTAATTTTAATATATTTTTAACCCAACATATGTAAAATATTACCATTTCAACATAAAAAGAATATAAACAATTACTGAGACTTTTTTTCTTACAAAGTCTCTGAAATACAGTTTTTATTTTACACTTAAACAGCACATCTCAATTTAGACTAGTCACATTTCAAATGCTCAATATAATGTGATCACTGGATAGTGAGAATGAGTCTAATAATCTTTCCCACAGACCACTGGATACCTAATTACTGTCCTTTCATAAGTAACAGTAAAAAAGTAAAGGACTGATGAAGATGCTAAGCATAAAAATGGATCTAGACTGAGAAACTCATTCTTCCCACCATTTGAATGAAATTTTCAAAGGGATTATGTAAGTATAGAGATTTTTTACCAGAAAATAGGTTACAACTACAATCTAAGGAATTACTGATAAACTTCAGGAGTCAGAGAAGATAATTCTTTCCACAAATAAGCAATTAAGCATTTTCTATAAAGTCATACAATTTTAGTGCTGAAGGAGTCAAAGTGGGGTTTCAAAGCATATGAAACTCAGTTTAAGCGAGTTGTTAGGATACACAAGAAATACATCTGTCAACTGTGAGTGCTAAGAAAAATATTCAGTTAAGCTTTTATTAGTATTTTTTCTTTTTCAAATAACATTACCTATCCTGTGTGTCCTTTGTGCACCTACATAGGTATCAAATATTCGCTGCAATTCACACTTTCCAGTCATCTGTCGTAAGAGCCATTTCATCCAAAATCGAAAAAAGTGCCCATAGAAGAACTCCCACAAAGAAACAAACATTTTTTTTTTTTCCTGGAAGAGGGAAGTATACAAGACAAACTTAATGACCTTAAACTGAATTTTAAAATTAAAAAAATTAGTTTATACAACTGATCAAATCTCAAATCGTTAGTATCTATTATTCCATTGTTTGTTTTGTGACAGTGTTTAATTAGGCATCTAAAAACAATGGCAGGTGTAATATATACCACTTAGATTACCACTTTTTCAAAACTAAAATTCAAACAACTTAGTCAAATATTCAATGGCTTGAAAGAACAACAGAATGGTTTGCACTTTTTGCTAAATAATTGTATTTCATATCTAAGTTTCCTAATTTCTCATCCTTTGAGAACTGGGGTTCAATAGTTCAAGATCAAGAAGACCCCAACTAATCAACAATTAAAATATACCAAAATATCAGAATTGTTTTTATAGAATATGGTCTTCTTAGCCCTTGCGGATAATTCGTTACAGCTGTCCCAGTCAGGTGATGCCAGCAAATAAAAACACTACTTATGGCTAACAAACTGAAGTATACAAATTGAACATGGAGTATATAACACCTTAGCTCATTCTCCATTTTCTGTTCAATAGGTCAAGGGCAGAAATACTAACAAGTTTTGTTGTTTTTTTTAAGTACACACTCGATACAACTGGATCTTATGTCATAAGAAAATTCTTCAGCTTCTAAATGAGAAAGTCGGGGAGATACTATTGAGGGGGAGATACTTAAAAACAAAATTGCTCGTCTCCTTCCTGCCTTAAACATTCCCACAGACACGTCATCTCTGGACTAGGGCCTGAGGGACTGTCAAACTCCAAGTCCCCGCAGGTCAGTGCAGAAATACAGCATAGCCAGCTGGGTTGATCATTATCTTCGAAACCAATCCACCTAGTCCGCGCTCATTATGACAAAAAGCGCAGAATTGCCCAGTGGAGGGGACGCACGCGGAGCCAGAGCACCCCAGGGGTCGGGGCGTTCCTGCGCCGACCCCCCGCCAGCGCGCCGCCCGCGAATGGGAAGCCAGGGATAGCACAAAGACCCGCCGGCCCAGGCGCCCCCGGGTTCCCGCAGAACCCCGAGGGGCTCGCCAGCCGGCGCACTCTCAGCGCAGCCGCACCGATGCAGCGCCGGGCAAGAGGAAAAGAAACAGCAGCCACCTCACAGGAGCGGAAGAACTAGGGAAAGCAGAAGCTGCCTCGGTTTCCCCACTGCAAACAGCCGGCAACGGAAACGACGGAACTCTCCCTGCAAACACCGCGACCCGGAAGTCAGGGAGCGAGGCCGCGGACCAGCCTTCCCCGGGCCACTGCCCGCCCCGCCCCTCCGGCCTCTTCCGATTGGCCCGCACTCCACCTATTGCTAACGCTGGAAAGTGGTCGAGCAGAGCTACTAGGGACGCCCGAACGGTTTCCCCGGCAACGGCAGCCAGGAGCCCCGCCCCGCGCCAGAGTAGCCTCTCTTAGACCCGCGCTGGAGGCTTTTCCCTCCTTAAACCTCAGGTCCCTCGCGCAGGTTGACGGTATATACTATTGCTAGGCTCCAAGCGCGGAAGAAACCGTGTGCTTATGGTAACTTACGTGCCACGGTTAAAAAAGCGCTTTCATCTGCGTTGAATCTTAATTTTGTAAAGTAATTATTAATAGGTCCACTTTATGCATGAGAAAAGGGAACGGGTTACTTGACTGGCCAAACACGTGACAGATAAGGAAAGTCCATGTGTTGAGAAAATAAGTTGGACTTTATCCTACAATACTGTATATCTGAAAGTTAATTTATCAAATGTGTATTCCCTAACTGGTTGTTTTTGTTGAAAAAGTAATTTTGTGGTTCCTTTTTTAAAAACCTCAAACAATAAGATTCTTAATTCAACAAATATTTGTTGGTTGTTAGCCCAGGCAGTGTTCCAAAAGGCAGTCAAACACTAAACAAACAGGTAAATATTTAATATGTCAGATGCTGCTAAATGTTAAGGGTATTAGGGGTTGTTAGTTAAGGGGTAATGGGGAGTCTGTGGGGAAAGTCATTACATACTGTGTGGTCAAGGAAGTGTCAGGATTAACGTGGCATTTCGGCCTTATTGAATGAAGTAACGGAGTTTACCGTGGGAGTATCTGGAGGAAGAGTGTCCCAAGCACCAGAATGACAAATGCAAAGACCTTGAGCTGGGAGCGTTTTTGAAATGTTGGAAGAAGACCAAGAAGGCCCGTGTGCTTGGAGGAGAAAGAGCAAGAAGGAGAGTAGAATATAAATAAAAGGACAACTGATATTGAAAAAAAATTCCCCCATCCACCCAAAACTCATGGTCCCTCAGTCACCTTGCTCAGAAGCAACCAGGTATTACTTCTTGTTTCTACTTCCAAAAATTATTATGTGCAAGTGTATATAGGTATATTCCTTCCAAAATCCTTGAACTGAAGCAAGTGCTACATACATTCCCCCATCTGAGCCAGCATTTAAAAAATGGACTAATTGTAGAACACTAGCCATGTGCAGGGTGCATAAGCCATCATCCCTTTCCCCTAGAGGCAACCAACAATGAACGTGGTAATGAAGTCTGGATAGACACTATAACAGTCATATCACGGAACCTTAAATCTTAAAGAGAACTTATAAGTACCATCTAATTTAATTTGTTAAATTGTAGATTAAAAGATTTAGAAAGGCAAAGTGTACAGTCGATTGGGCAAATTGAGTTATAAACTAACTTCTATTTCAGGAGGCTCTCTATTATTCCATAAACTTTTGCACAGTAGAAGGTGAGATAATTCATGCGTAATCCTTTTGCCTTTTCAGACTGCTACACTGAGTGTAGGCAGTGCAGGAGAGGAACTTTCTGCTTCTTGTTTTCCTGCTGCCTGCTGGCCCACTTCCATTCATGTTTTTCCGCAAGAGTAGAGAATGCTGATATGTTCTGTCAGAACATGAGAAATTGATTGAACTTCTTTTATTGAAAGCAGGGTCACTGTACATTGAAATTTCTTATGCATACCAGTTGCCTCTTCTCTTTTCCACTATTCACGTGCGTGTAACTGGCAGATATATTAAACCAATCTTGTTTCTCAGGAAAGATTGTCCATCTCTATTTCTTATTCTCTCTAGTTTTTTGTTTGTTTGTTTGGCTAACTAAAGGGTCATTATATTGTAGGATTAAGATTCTGGTTTCATAGAGAAAGTGGGACCTTCTCCATCTAAGTCCCCAGGTTTCTCAACCAAACTATGTGCATCTGCCTGGCCTTATTAAATACACCTACATACAAACCAAAGGCAATAGTGGAATGAAATTTGGAATGAAAAATATATTTTTGATTAGCACTGAGTAATCTCTGCTTTCTTGAATTCTCAGAATAAACAGCAATGGAACTGCCGATTTCAGAAACTGCTTAATGGAAACAGTTCTTTGGTATGACTGCTAATCATCAACTTGTTGCAGTGGTCAGTATTTGATCCACAGAAGACCCAAATTAAATATCAATGCCCCTTTTGGAGGGTGCGATGTCTGAAATGCCTTAAAATTATACTGAAAAGAAAAACTTTATATGCATTTTGTTAACAGTGCTCTGTGGAGGCATTAAAAATATAAAGGGCAGTGGCAACCCAACTTGGTTTTATGATGATCAATGTTGAGCTTCCCTGAATAATATGCCTCTTCCCCTAACTACTGTAGACATTGTGATTAGGGGAAACTCCTCATGCATAGATTCCCAGTATGATAGTCTTAGTGAGAGGAGAAGGATTCGAATATACAGAATGCCAAGGCAGATTTGTTCTCACAGCTACTGATCATGAGCTTTGTCAACAAAAAGAAAGTTTAAGCTGTTCGGAAGAAGTTAATGGGCTGGGGTGGAGATAGTAACCAGAATAAGAGAAAAAAGCACTGAATCAGGTAGAATGATTTTTGAAACTTCTTTGAAGGATGGGTGTGGGAGGGAATAGAGAAGGAAGAAATTGACAGGATCCGTACAAAGGGTTTGACAGCACGTTAACAATAGCTTAGAGAAGGGAAACCTACTCTAGCTCCTGCACCCACTGTACCTAAGTTACCCTATCAGATCTGTTCCAATTATCCCAGCCTCGATGAGTTTAAAGGCAGCAATGATGAAAAAAATTGGAAAATGAAGTGTATTTAGCACAGGATAATGATTTTAACGTGCCTATTAAGGTTGTGGGTAAAAGGATAAATAACAAGGGAGTTCCAGGTGTAGTGACCATGTCTGTAATCCCAGCACTTTGGGAGGCTGAAACAGGAAGATCACTGGAGCTCAGGATTTCAAGACCAGCCTAGTGAGACCTCTTCTCTACAAAAAATAGAAAAAAAATAGTCAGGTGTGGTGGTGCACACCTGTAGCCCCAGCTACTTTGGGAGGCTAAGGTGGGAGAATCACTTGAGCCTGGGAAGTTGAGGCTATAATGAGCCATGATGGCACCACTGCACTCTAGCCTGGGCAACAGAATGAAAACGTGTCTCAAACAATAAAAAGAAAAAAAGAATAAGAAAATCTTGAAGGAGAAGAAATCTTCATATGTCCCCTGGCGGGGGGTCCAAGATTGTATGATTTAAGTTAATGTTGAATGGCAGAGGATAGTGAAAACCTTTTTTGGAATTACTGGATGTACCATAATGATGATGTAAAATGTACCATAATAGCAGAATAAAAAGACAATATTAGGGTATGAAAATGGAAGTTTGGAGTATATTGAAATGTTACAGTAGGTAGTGCCAGAATCACTACAAAACTACAGATGAAGAAATAAAAAACAAAAATCCAATTTCTGCCTTTATCTGTGTTGATGAAAAGCCAAACTCAGTAAAATACTTGAAGATATTTATTCTGAGCCACATGTGAGGACCATGACCTGTGACATAGCTCCAGGAGGTCTGAGAACATGTACCCAAGGTTGCTGGGTTACAACTTGATTTTATACATTTCAGGGAGATGTAGACATCAGTCAATACATGTCAGATGTGTATGGGCTTGGTCCAGAAACGTGGAACGACTTGAAGTTATGGGAGAGGCTTACAGGTCATAGGTAGATTCAAAGCTTTTCTGATTGGTAATTGTTTAAAAGAGTTCATTTATTATCTAAAGACCTGGAATCAACAGAAAGGAGTGTCTGGTTTAAGATCAGGGGCTGTGGAGACCAAGGTACTTACTATGTAGATGAAATCTAACAGGTGGCTGTCCTTAGAGGCAATAGATGGCAAATGTTTTCTATTTAGACCTTTAAAAGATGCTAGACTCTCAGCTAATCTCCTTAGGATCAGAAAAACACCTAGATAGAGAAGGGGATTCTCTACAGAATGCAAATTTATCCCATAAGAAACAGCTGTGTAGGGCCATATCAACGTATTTTGAGATAAAATACTTTGATACTTCTAGAGCCTGCTATATCTGTTGTGTGATGCTATGCTAGAGTAAGTTTGGAATTTCGTATCGTACTGCTACAGTCTGCTTTTTCAGTCTTAAGATTTCTGTTTCAATATTAATGCTCGTCAGTTGTGCCTGAATTCCAAAGGAGGAGGATATAATGAGGCATGTTTGACCCCCCACTTCCCATCATGACCTTATCTAATTTTTCAGTATTCTTTGAAAGCCCGTTGACCAAGAGGAGGGGTCCATTCAGTTGGTTGCAGGGCCTTAGAAATTTATTTTTGGTCTACACCTGAATATGTCATGAGAATGGATGTGATGAAAGCTCTTGTCTTTACCAGCTTAAAGCCAAGCAAAATGTCTTTAAAAGATAGAGAAGTCTGCCCTCCACTTGGTTTTAATTAATCAGGCATTATGGAAGCCCTGAGTCTCACACAAACTCCCCTTTGTAGTAAATAATCAGGGAGTGTTAGATTCTCGAAGGACACAAGAAATATTATCTTTCATTAAGAAACAATGGGAGGGAAAGTGCTAATCTCCACGAATGCTTTCTATTAATCCTATGTGACCCAGGAGAAAAAGAGCAGGCTTTGGAGATAACAGTTAACTATCATCATTTAAAAAAGGTAGTTCCCATGATTTAAACAAGTGTCTGTTGTGCTAGGCATTGTACAAGCTGTACAAGATGTCCAGCAAGATAAATATTACTGTTTTTTGTGTGCTAGATTAGGCTAATGCTATCCTTCTGATCTTATTCAGAGAGACATCAACCACAGTTTGTTTGTACATGAGAAGGAATGTAATATATCTTTAGGTCCCTTCCCCATGGATATCCATCTGCTCCAACTCGCTGCTACAATTTGGAGAAATTAGATTTCAACATAATCATTATCCAAATTAAGTTAATTCATTATATTGA